AATAGAATAGAATAGAAATAGGAATTTAGAATAGAATAGAAATAAGAAGAGAAGAGAATAGAGTAGAAATAAGAATAGAATAGAAAATAAAATAAATAAAATAGAGGCATAGAGAATAGAATAGAATAGAATAGAAATAGGAATTTAGAATAGAATAGAAATAAGAAGAGAAGAGAATAGAGTAGAAATAAGAATAGAATAGAAAATAAAATAAATAAAATAGAGGCATAGAGAATAGAATAGAATAGAATAGAATAGAATAGAATAATAAAATATAGAATTTGTGTTTGGTGCATCTGCTCTCATTGCACATAAAGAAAAAATAAAATACATTCATCAAGAATCATAATTAGAATAGAATAGAATGGAATGATAAAATATAGAATTAGATTAGAATAGAAAATAAAAGAATAGAATAGAATAAATTTATTGTCACTTTGAATATACACTAAATGGCATACATTAAAAATGAAATTTCGCTGCACATAGCTCTTAAAGGGCCACCACCTCCAATTTTACTACACAAACATGACAAGATAAGTAAATAAATAAAACACCAAATTAGGCCCATTATGGAGGTTTTTAAGAAGAGATTGGGAAGCCATTCGTCTGAGGCGAGTTCATAGCAACCTCACTTAGACTTATATACTGCTTCCCGGTGCTTTTTCAGCCTCTAAGCGGTTTACAGAGTCAGCATCTCGCCCAGCCGCCAACAATGTTGGGTCCTCCTTAAGGTCTTGGGGTCAGACCAGAAGACCTCCGAGGTCCCTTTTCATCTCTATTCTGAGCCTGATTCAGCTCGGTGGTATGTTGGCAGTGTGTCCCTCTTCCTCATTCCTTGCGCTCCCAAGTCAGCCCCGCCAAAGGCCTGTCCTGCTCCGTCCTGGCATTACTTTAGATGTCCTGGCTTGGCCCCGGATGCCCAGGTGAGGTCTTTGGAGCCAGGACGAGGCCGGCGTTGGCACAGGGCCTGTCGGGACGGCCCAGCTGGCACCCGGCTTCCTAGAAGAGCAGCTGCATGAAATCCGAATATTGCCGTGGCTCGTTCACGCGGGATCTTTGTCCGGACAAATATTAAATTGCTTGTTTAAATATTAAATGGCCCCGCGGCCATCAGGCGGGGTGGCAACGGAGGCAGGCGGGGTGGTAGCGATGGGCATTGGAGCGGCTGGCGGGTGGACTTAGCCAGGCTGAAAAAAAAAACCAGATTATTTTGGAGGGATGAAGGACTGTTTGTCCTTTTTTGGGGTGGGGAAATCTCATCTTTTATCCTTCCCAGATCACAGCCATGGTTATGCAAATGGGACTCCGCCCATATTTGACATGGCAGCCATCTTGACTTTTTTGACATCCTGAGGTCACATGGTCCCCTTTTGCGACCATTGGACAAGCCAAAGGCTGCAGGGAAGCCAAATTCACTGAACAAATGTGTGACTTGCTGAACAACCGCAGTGATTTGCTTAGCAACGGTGGGGAAAAATGGTTGTAAAATGGGGCAAAACTCTCCTTCGATAATGAATGTCTTGCTTAGCGATGTAGCTGTTGGGTACCGTTATGGCCATAAGTTGAGCACTTGCTGTTCCAACTCACATGGGGCTCGATTTATTTAATATAAGCTGAATGGGGCAAAAGCCCCTTGACCACAAATGTCTCGCTTAGCGACATAAATGTTGGGCGCCATTCTGGCCGTAAGTTGAGGGCTCCCTATTTCAAAGAAAAAGGAGAGGTAGAGGCTTGAAGGATAAAATTGAAAACATCAATACAGGAAATCCTTGACTTAGGACCACAACTAAGACCAAAATGTTTGTTGCTAAGCAAGACAGTTGTGAAGTAAGTTTGGGCCTCTTTTACTATCTTTCTAGCTGCAGTTGTTAAGTGAATCACCACAGCTGTTAGATTAGTCACCAAGTCATTAAGTGAATCTGGCTTGCCACGGACTTTTCTTGTCGCAAAAGGGGACGCTGCGATAAATGTCATAAATACGACCGTCATAAATACGAGTCAGTTGCCAAGCCTCTGGATTTTGATCACATGACCTTGGGGATGATGCGATGGTTGTAAGTGTGAAAACCAGTCCTAAATCTCTTTTTTTAAAGTGCTATTCTCACTTTGAACAGTCACTAAAAAGACTGTTATACATCGAGGACGACCCGCATTACAATTTTTTAAAAATCTTTAAAACTTTTTTGAAACAATAACAAAGAGCCCATAAAAAAGCATGAAAACAGTAAAAATTAAAACGTCTTATTTGAATGCATGCAAGGCAAGATTTGCGATTGGAAATGCAGTCATTGAGGGGCGCATCAAGGCTGTGGTTGACCTCAGGGTGTGGGGGGGCGGGTGTGGCAGACTGGGTGGGTGTGGCCAACTGGGTGGGCGTGGCCAGCTTAATGCCACTCCCCAAACTGGTGGCGCGGTTCTTCTTTGCATTGTGTAGACCAGAGGTCAGCCATTTTAAACCCTCAAAAGAGCCATTTGGAGCCATTTCCCACAGAACAGAAAACATCGGGAGTCACAAAACCTGACTATTTCCCGAGCGGGCCACAAAACTAACATATGTAGTTGAATGAAACGCTCTGTTTCCTTCTGAATCTTTTTGTTTCTTGGATTTAACCATGCGGGTGTCAAAAAGCTCAATAAATCACGTGCCAGCAGGTGTCGCGCACTGGTAGTTGTGGCGCATATTTTGAGCAATGGAGCCCTAGCAGAGGGGATGAAAGAGCCACGTGCGACTTTAAAGCTGACCCCTGGGGTAGGCCGGGCCGAAGGGTCCTGTGTTTGATATCCCTGTCGTTCTAGGTGGGTCTTCAAGGGTGAGTCCCACCAACAGTCTGCTTGCAGTAGTCTAACCCAGGACGGGCGTTAATCTCAAACTCTGTTGTGTCTCCCTCAGCCACCTCAGACGGTACCAAGGAAGGCCTCGAGAACCTGAAAGGCGGCGCCTGTTTGTCCAAAGGGATGAAAGTGATGTTAAAAGTCGGACAGCGTAAGTGGTCCGTGGGGGGGGCGGGGGCGGGGAGGACACGCTATCACTGGTGGCTGTGGAGAAGGGGGTAAAAGTGACCTATGGAGGCTGGGATATCTGGGCCTCGCTCAGGGGGAGATGAACCAGGTGGGGGGACGCCCGTTGTGTTGGAGAAGACTCAATTCCTTTGACCGGGAGAAACACAGGGCAGTAGTTCTCAAACTCACCCGTCTGAAGATGGCTGGACTTCAACTTCCAGAATTCCCCTGCGTCATCGCTTGGCGCACCACTTCGCATTTAGGACCATCCTGCAGTCACATGACTGTGATTTTGGGCAGTTTTTTTTTTTTTTGGCCTGTTTCCTGCATTAACGTCCAGTTATGTCCAGCCAAGTGAAGAAAACCTAATGTCCACCACAAAAATGTCGTAAAATAGAGTGCAGTCACGCCATGACCCATTTAACGACAACATGATTATAATCCTAGGCTTGGTTCCATTCCTAGTTCGAGGACTTCCCGTATGTTTGGTTTGTTAAGGCAGCTGCGTCCTTCGCACGACAGGATCGGCTTTGTGTAGAGTAAGGAACGACGCGAACGACGCTTGGTTGGTGTGGCGCGTGAACACAACTCGTTCTTGCTTAATTTTGGCATCGTAGGGGAGTGACTACACACACAAAAAAAAATCTAGGTCAAAGCTCTTGTTTGAACGGGGTTAAGATGGTGACGGTAACCGTGTCATCGATGCCATGCCCTCAGTCAGTGGTAGGATGAAAACTTTTTTACTACCAGTTGTCAACTCATAAAACATTCCTATGCCTGTTTTAATAGTTGCCACAATCAAAAAGGCGGGAGGAAGTAAATCTGGAAGAGCCGTGCAGCAGTTTGAAAGCGAAAGGACATTCCAACTCTTATCTTTAAAAGATTGTAACTAGGCTACCAGAGCTTTTGCCTGGGAATGGATTTAATTGGAGAATGTGATTGATGACACCCAGCCCGTGAAAGTGCTCAATTGGAGAATCTGGTTTATGAGACACCCACGAGGGAGGGGGGGGGAACAGGGTCACAAGTGGCTAAATTACATATACACAATGCCAGTATGTCGCCTCTAATGAATCCTTTGAAGTTTTTTGAAGTTTGGCTCGAGAATCATGATTTCATTAGGACGATTACTGGAATCCCATGAGAACTTGATTCGCGCCAGTGCGCAGCAGTCAAAAACTACCAATTTTGAGCTTCCAGCAGCTGGGGTGTGGCAATGTACTCTGCCGCGCGAATCAGCCGAGCCCGAGACCAAGGAAGCAAAGGACAGAAAAGGGTGGGTGGGCATGGCTAACGGCTCACCATTGCAACCTGTTCGCTAGAACCAGTGCAAACCAGCAGCCTCCCATCACTGCCCTTGGTGCCTGGTCATAGTATGAGCAGCACTTTGAATGGGTAGATGTGGTATTTTTTGACCCGCTCACCTGTTGGGTACCCAGGAGGGGGGCTTGGGGTGCTATGTTGGGGGTATGGTGTGCCTCTTCCTGCTTGGATTGCCCTTCTTTCCTCTGCCCCGCATCCCCCAGATCGCAACACGGGTTCCAAATCCCAGAATTCCATGCCTGCCACACCTGCGGAGAAGGACCGAGGGACGCCAGGTGCCGCTGAACCCAACAAGGAGATGGTCCCAGGTATGGCCCTTTTCCCATTCCCCACCCTTGGCGATTTCTCTCCCGCCCCCTAACATTGGCACACCTTCAAAGAGGGCGTGGCAACTGCCGTCACCCTAAGCCAGTCGAGTTAACCATCTGCTGTCTGGCAAGAAGGCTTCTATCGTAATGTGGAATCCGAATATTCCCACGGAAACTTTCTACTTTTTCTCAATGTCCTAGACCTCTTCCTCCTTTCCTTTCTCTCTTCCTCCCATCGCATGTTGTCCTCAATTAACAACCGTTTGCATAGTGACCGTCCAGAGGTATGGCAGTCCTGAAAAAAGTGACTTGTGACTGGTCCTCACACATACAACCATTGCGGCTTCCCCGTGGTTACATGATCAAAATTCAGGAAACCAGCATATATTTATAATAGTTGTAGTGTCCCGGGGTCGTGTGATTGCCGTTTGCAAACCTTCCCAGCTGGCTTTTGACAAGTAAAGGGGGAGGCTGGATTTGCTTAATGACCACATGACCCACATAATGACTGCAGGGATTCGCTCCACATCTGTGGCAAAAAAAAAAAATCAGGCAAAATTTGCTTGCTTAGAAATGTTGGGCTCAATTGGGTCATACAGTCCTCGACTTAATGACTGTGATGAAGCTGGAATTTTTATTAGCAATGCAAGTTCCCATCCCGTTTGTGGTCGTAAGTGGAGGATTACGCGTATTCCTCTCAAGGTGCTGAGCCAAATTTTCCCATGAACGCTTGGCATATAACAAATAGGAAGGTGAGGGAAGGAGCTCAGTTGTAGTTGAAGTGGAGAAGGAGGCTGTTATCTCCAAAGAAGCACAGAACCCATGTTCCATAGCGTAGCACGCCTTCATGTCAGCTGAGATTGGAGACATAACTGGGGCAAGAACAGTGGGTCAGCCTTCGTTCCTGTTTCCTATCTCAGCCTAGATATTTTGGTGAGCCCAGTCAGGAAAAAACTGGGGGACCTGCAGGTTCCCATTGCCCTCCCCCTTTACCAGGCGAAAAGAAGAGAGAATCGGAGCGGGCATAGCAGGGTGTGATGGATCTTGAAATCTGAACGATCCCTCGGAGGCTGTCCCAGGCAGATTTCCACAAGGCAATTAGCTCTATTAATCAGAGTCGACAGACAGGAACGTTGTGCTGAGCAGGCAGTTGCTCCTTTGGGATGTCACAATGCGCCGAACAGTTTTCAACCACTTGAACAAATTGTGAGGAAGTGTTTCCCGTGTCCTCTAAAATCATGGTGGTCTGTTGGCTGTGTCGGATTAAGACTAATGCCCGTTTCCCTCTGCCTCATAGGACCTTCTTCTGGAAACACGACCGGGAAAGTCGGGGGCGAGAACGGCCCGTTGCCGCAGTCCAATGTACCCATCATTGCTGGTGCTGCCGGAGGAGCAGCGTTTGTGTTGCTGGTGGCAGCGGCTGTGACGGGGGCCCTTTGTTACCACCACCACCGGGCCAAGCACAGCGAGTCGCACCACCCGCCATTGTCCCTCAGCACCCTGACCAGCCCCAAGCGAGTCGGGGGCGGAGGAGGCGCCAACAACAACGGCTCTGAGCCGAGCGATATCATCATCCCACTCAGGACTTCAGACAGTGCGTTCTGCCCGCATTACGAGAAGGTGAGCGGCGATTACGGTCACCCGGTCTACATTGTGCAGGAGATGCCACCGCAGAGCCCGGCCAACATCTACTACAAAGTATGAGGCGCGAGGTGGCTCAGCTGAGCCTCCGTAGGCAGCCTTTGGAGCTCTGCGGTGGGCAGGCAAGGACTCGGATCAGACGGGACACAACAAGACATTATTACCCTTCCTGCCTGTTCTCGTTCGCCTCGGATGCTGCGCACAGAAGGGTTTGATGCATAGGTGCCTCATTCACCTCCAGTTATTTTGGGGGAGGGGGGAACACCCTGGAACTGATACGGCCGTTGTCACAAGGGAGGCCGGGACACCTCTCTCTCTGCGGATCCAGAAACATGGGATGCAACTCCTGTCTGATCACGTACGAGCGAATTTTATCGCGACCCGCCCTTCCCCGTCAATTCCACGGCGAGGTCCAGCCGAACTGTGAAAGTTTGGCTCCCACTCGGTGTGTGCCCACCTGCCAAAACAGATTTGGGAGTGGAAGACACACGCACCGCCCCGGTTTCTTTTGCAATAATTCAATCTGATTGCCTTGTCCAGTCTCTCTCTCTTTCTCTTCTCCCTTTGACAGCTTATTCATGGGCCGGCGCTGATAAGGTTAGACATATGGGGAGGGGGCTGTTTAAAAGCAAGACCCCCAGTGCTCTAAAAGGTTGCATTTGTTGTTAGTGCCACAAATCAAAACAAGGAACGGTGCAGGTCTGCCTTATTCCCACCACCATCGTGTGACCCTCCCCCCAGGGCAGCATTTCAAATGTGTTGTTTTCGTTTTCGTTTTTTAACTTTGAAAGTTCACACTCTTTTTTTTTTTTTTTGCAATGTTGTATCCGCAAGATCTCTCCTTATTTTTCTCCCATGGGGTTCCTTCAGGGTTGTAGCCCTACAGACAATGGGACTCCTCCTTCCCTACTTGCAACCCTCCCCCCAAATTTGCCAGCTCCCCGTCCGATACAGACAAATGTGTACATCTTCACGATGCACGTGTGAATCAGGGTGATGGGAGAAGAATCCTTTTCCTTCCCCACGTTTGGATTGGGAACTGGCAACAGAGTAGCCCCGTAGGTTGGAGACTGTTGCTGGGAAGAGGAGATCCTGGTTTGTTGATCCACCGGCAACCATTTTGAAGTCTTCGATGGTTCCGTTGCTCGAAGGAGAAGGCAAACAAAATGGCCGACTTCTCCACCCATCCTCATCGAAAGTAGGGGAAGAGGAATTCCTCCAAATTTTAAATGTCTCTCTCCCCTTTTCTCCCCCCACCCTCACTTCTCATGCCCCTTTCTCCTCCTTCCCCCCCCCTCACCATTAGGGACAGGATTTTCCCCCAAATTTTGATGGAGTTTTGACGAAGTGGCAACCTATTGTGTGTGATGTTTAGTGGCACGCCGAACAAGGCGGGACTTCTTGTGTTAGACTGGGGAAACGTACGTGGGTCAACTTTCCTGCTTTTTTCAGGGGAAACTGTGGTTTTTTTCAGCTTTAATAGACTTTAAACTTTTGGGGGGTTCTTTTCGTTTCGATTTTTTTTTTTTAATCGGAAAAGTTTTCTTAGCTTTCTTGGTGAACATTTTACTGTTGGACATTGTTGATTATACATGTTCTTGTGCAAACTGGTCTCGGACTCTTCTGGTTATTTCCTACGACGACCTCCCATTAAAACAAAAACAAAAAAACAAAATTAAAAACAAACCACAAAACCACCTGTTCTTCTCTTCGTACTGTACACCCCCGTGGACTTTCGGGAATTTCGATGGTCTTGTCCAGGGTAGAACTGTACAGTTGGGATCATTTGGTCTCCGCTGGACAGTGGAAAGAATACCGAGCGACGGGGGTATCTCCAGATTTTGGGGTGGGTGGGTTGGAAAATAAAAAGCAAAACGGCTGAAAGTTCAGCTTCGGTGGGTTGTTCAGGGACACATGGATTTGTACAAGGGGCGGTGCAGAGACATGTGGGGGCTGGGTAGGGGTGTACCTCGGTCCTGAGAGCCAGCATATCACCTTTTTTGGGGGTAGTGGTGGGAGGCTGAAGGTCTGAAGGCTCAGAAGAAAGCCTTCTGCACATGTTCAAGGCTGGAAATTGAAACCAGAGCAAACAAGTTAGTTAGCTAGTTAATTAGTTAGTTTATTGTCATTGCACCTCGTACAACGAAATTAAATACCATCTTCAGTGTACGTTATGAAAACCACCACAAACACACACGCTTGGCATTCTGTACATCGAATTGAGGGGTGACGGGTGGAGAGAGATCACTGAAAAAACATCCTGGAAAAGAAAATCCTTGAGGGGGGTGTGGGGAAATGGCATTCTTGGAAACAAAGCTTTCCTTGATGGTTGAGAAAAAACCAGCGTGTAGTTGACAATGTTTGTTTGCTGAAATGGCCTCAAAATCTGTTGATCCAAAATGCAAGCGGGCAGCGGCGGGGTGTGGAAGCAGCCCCCCCCCGCAGCCTCCCCCTGGATAGTTCGAGGTTTGCTTTGCCCCCCCCCCACACCCAACAGCCGTGCCCACCCCTCACCCTCCAAAGCTTCACTGCCCCTTCTCGAGCCGCACTGAACGAACGGCAGCTCCGCACGTAATGAATTGTGACAGTACAGAACTCCCCAGGGCTACGTCTGCTGCTCGTAGCAGGGATCTAATGGAGGGCTCTATGTCCCCCCCACCCCCCCACACCTTGACCATGCCTGGACTTGCATTAAGTAAACAGCAGCCAGGGACGGAATCTATGGGGTGAGAATTTGGGGGAAGGAAACATAAGGAAACAGCCAGACCAGTATCACCAGCTGTGCAGGAAAGTGTTGTCTCGTATCACGTCCAATTTGTTCTGACGGCTAAAGGCAGGCATATCCCCCCACCCCACCCCACCCATTGGGTGGCAGGACCTCCTTCTGACCCCTCCCCCGCCCAATCTCTCTCTGCCTTTCCCTCCAACTATTTGGGGCACGGTCCCTTCCCATATCCAGACACCTTCTAAGTGTTGGAAAGAGACAACATGACTCAGGAGGTTATTTTGGGAACAGGAGCCATGCAATGCAGCAGCAACTCCGCGCGAGAGAAATGCTGATCCTACTTCCACCCCAGTGAAAGGAGGGGGGGGGGGCATCAGCACTGGCCACGAAATGGGGAGGGCTGGGAATGCAGAACACCAGCCGCCAGATCGGCGAGGTCCAGTTTAAGAAAGAATTGACCACTATAAAAGAGGCGCATCAGGGCGCAACGCCATTGTTGAACATATGTTCCCGGCCAGCGGGGTGGGATGCTGCGAGTATAAACAACTGGTTTGGTGATCGCATGCGCGCCTGACATACGAACAGCAATGCAAAAGTTCTGACCCGCTAGGTTACTTTGGGGGAGTAATACAGCTGAGGAGTGTCAATCTGTTCTTACGCGCTGATCAGCTGGGGCGATAAAGGTCAATAACAATGCAGGCCTGCATGATCATCGGAGCGAACCGGTTCGCTCCTGGCTGATTTTCGGAGCTCAGGGTTTGGCCGAAGTGGTCCGAACTGGTAGAACTCCATCCTGGTTCCCACCGTGTGAAACGGGAACGCCACAATGAAGGAGAACTTCTACCCATCACCAGCAGGGGGCGCCCTGCAGAAGAGGCCCCTTCTGCGACTCCCCGCAGGCGACTTCTCCATCCTGAAAGTCCAACCCAGGGGGGTCGGCCATCTTAAACACTCAATAGAGCCGTTTGGAGGCATTTCCCACAGAAAAGAAAACACCGGGAGCTACAAAACCTGACTTTTTCCTGAGCAGCCACAAAACTTAGCATACGTAGTTGAATTAAATGCTCTGTTCTCTTCTGAAACTTTTCGTTTCTTGGATTTAACCATGGTTGGCCTACTGAGGGGGTCGAAAAGCTCAACAAATCACATGCCAGTGGCTGTTGCACATTGGTGGGTTGTGATGCATATTTTGAGCTACAGAGCCATAGCAAAGGGGATGAAAGAGCCACATGCGGCTCTAGAGCTGTAGGTTGCCAACCCTTGGTCCAACCGGTGCAGCTGTTCTTGGCACCCTTTGCCCGCTGAATGGTCACTTCTCCCTTTTGTGTTTATCTGCCATTCTCTCTGAGCCACGGGGGCATTCCCCCCCCACATTTGACCACGGCCTCTGCTGCATTTTGTAGGCCCAACTGGCCTACTGCTACACCTGAGCCTGGAAGGCGTTTGGGGGAAATAGGCGGAAATGCTTTGCAATCGTTTTGTGGAAGGTGGGCTCCGGTTTAATTATCCTTCGTGACAAGAGATAAAATCAGAGGGGGCACTGACCAGGCAGGTGGCACTGGGTCAAGACAACGATGGTGACTTGCCAAATATATGTGTGTTGGGGGGGGGTGATCTCAGTGGGTGGGGGAAAGCAGACTATCCCAAAACGTAGTTTTGGTTTGAGGGGTTCTTATTGGCTTCTTGAACTTGGCTGTTTTCTTACGGACATTTTATGGCCGACCTAGATAACGTCATCAGTGAAGTTAACACCAACTTTAACATTACACCAATACTCATGAAGCAAACAAACTAACAATAAACAGCCCAACCCCCTTCCAAGACCACTCCCACTCCCACTGACCGGCAAGCTGCTAGAATATATAAAGAGAGCAAACCCCACTCCCTACTAGCCATGATGATGTTTCCTAGTTGGGTCATGAAACGTCTGCAAGGAAACCACCCAGCTCAGAGAGCACCAAGGACCCCACAGTTGTTCTCCTCCTCCTCCTCCTCCTCTTCCTCCTCCTCCTCCTCCTCCAACTCCACTCCCTTCCAGCACTGATGATGTTCCCTAGTCGGGTCATGAAATATCTGCAAAAGAAAAAAAAAAAAGGCTCAGAGACCACCAAGGACCCTCCTCCCTCCAGTTCAACCCTGATCTGCAAACATTCTTCTCTCTCCATAGTTAGATTTGGCTCCACGGTGGTCCCCCGCACAGCCCCCCACATCCCTGGGGATTTATTATTTCAGCGCCCAGCTAACTCAGGTTGTCTTGTTCTTCTGCTTTCATTTTTTTTTAAAAAAAATAAAATAAATGGGCTTTGAAGCTGCCTTCCCCGCGGTTGGTTTTTCTTTTTCCCGTCCCAAGTCCGGCTGCCGTTGTCTTCCAAATATGGGCTTAGCCCGAGCGCGGCCATTTCTTGAATGGAGGTGTGAAATTGGGATTAAGATGGAAGTTTGCATCATGGAGGAGGGGCGGATGGAGTCCATCGCTAGAGCTGGAAAAGGGACCTCGGAGGTCTTCTAGTCGAGCCCTCTGCTCAACAGGGCTCTCTATGCTATTTTAATCAGGATAGAGCTGGAAAAGGGACCTCGGAGGTCTTCTAGTCGAGCCCCCTGCTCAACAGGAATCTCTTTGCTATTTTAATCAGGATAGAGCTGGAAAAGGGACTTTGGGAGGTCTTCTAGTCGAGCCCCCTGCTCAACAGGACTCTCTTTGCTATTTTAATCAGGATAGAGCTGGAAAAGGGACCTTGGGAGGTCTTCTAGTCCAGCCCCCTGCTCAACAGGACTCTCTATGCTATTTTAATCAGGATAGAGCTGGAAAAGGGACTTTGGGAGGTCTTCTAGTCCAGCCCCCTGCTCAAGCAGGAAGACACTGCAGGCTGGAGAAAAGCTCTCTCTTACTTACTCCCAAGCTCCTAACCCAAAGGAAGACCCACTCCCCAAGCCAAGAATGCGTGACCCCCCCAACCAAAAGTCCTCCACCAAACGTGGGAATGAAATTGGGTCTCCTGTTGTCGTCTCCTAGCAGGAGTTTTTAT